AGTGATCTAAAGGGATAACACCAATTGGCAAGCTAAGCAATAGTGGAGAGACCACCTCGAATGCCCATTCCTGGTAATGAACTTGATGTCTATAACCATCTGGGAGCCTTCATCCAGTGACTGATGGAAGCAGAGGCAAACACACAATTAAACACTGAACTGAACCCAAGGAACCCAGTGGCAGAGAGAGAGGAGTGATGAGCAAATTGGCAAAGAATGGGCTGGCAAAACCAGCAGAGACAGCTGATCTGAACAGGGGAGTGCTCTTAGACCCCAGACCGACAGTGGGGAGGCCAGAATGGGACTGATCTGGACCCCCCCCAAATGTGAGTGTCAGTGAGAAGGCCTGGGCAACCTATGGGGCCCTGAGCAGTGGATCAGTGTCTATTCCTGGAATACAAACAGTCATCCTGTGCCCATAGCACAAAGAGGGATGCTCTCTCAGCCTGGACTCTTAGGAGAATGCCTGGACCCTACCCGGAATGAAATGACAGACTCTAGATATCCCCTATGTGGAAGGAATTGGCAATAGGGTGGGAGGCTGGGGGGGAAGGGGAGTGCGGGAGGAGGGGAGGGAGAGGGAACTGGGATTGACATGTAAAACAAGCTATTTAAAATTAAAATAAAAAATGATATAAAAAAGAAACAAAAAAACCAAGATACATTTATTCTACATTTAGACGTATAGTAACAGGTCCAGTAAGTTTTACTTAATACTTTCCCCTCCTAAAAATGTTAAATCTACATCAATGTTTGAAAGGGTCCTTGGTTATCAATTATTTTTTTTCTTTTTTTATAAAATGTGATCCAAAATCAATCGTAGCCTACTTTGAATTAAGTATTCTGTTTTTGACAACTATATTTTAGATACATGTTAGACATGATGGCCTGTCACTCAACTCTCATTTGTAACTTCTTCAAATGTTCATTCCATCATCCCTGAAGATAGGAATCTGTAGACTACATTTCCCAGAATCCTTTGAAGGGTGCAACAAGAAATTAGGTTCTTCCAGAGAGAATGTCTGGAGAAGGAAGCAGAGAGTGTCCGGGGATGATGCTGGCCGGCCTGCTTTGCTGTTGGTACAGTGTTCCCTCCCTTGGTTCCTAGGGTTGAGAGTGAAGGACTTCCTCTGATTATTGGAATACAGACAAATGACATGTTTGGGAAGGCAGCACCTCTGCTCCTGGCGCAGTCTCAGAATTCAGACAGCAGCAATGAAGGCCGGAGCCCCGGAGTCACTTCAGCCCAGCTGCTTGGCAGGGATCTCATGGAGCTCACACTCTCCTCTTTCTTAAGTAGCAACTTTCCTGCGTGCACTTCGTTTCCACTCTACACCCCTCGATGCTTCAAAGTAGCCGTGACAGTTTCCTGATTGTCACAAGAAAGGGAGTGTGCAGTACACCGATGGTCGGAAGTGCTTTGGGAGAAAAAAATGAAAGGGGAAAGGTGGTGCCCATCTGACACGCAGTTGTGTGACAGAGAACAAGGTCACAAACCAGACCAGGGCTATCTAAATGAAGGGATGGACTTGAAGTCAAAACATAATTATAAAAGCTGAGAAGTAATCAAGGGCACTTATGGAAAGACAGAAGGAAAGAGGGGGAAGGCAAATAAAAATAAAAACAGTAAATTTACCTGTGTGCTGAACCAACCACAAGTCTTTCAAATGACCTTGAGAAGATCGGCCCATCAGGGAAGACTTTGATGGCACTACTCTGCCCTTTGCTCTGAGCGCCCAGAGCCTTCCCCATGAGATTTCAAAATGAATCACGCCCTACAACTCCTCAATGGATTCCCCAGATTCAAACTGTGTGATTGACAGAAATACGCACAACATACATTTTAAACCAAACTCTATTCGTCTTTAAAAATGTAAGGGAAGATTAATCTAAGCGTTGTTTGGGGTCGAGGAGAAGGTCTGGAGGTAGACTAAGGGCCTTGCATATGACAACACCTACGCTTGACTACTGAGTTGCACTTCCAGCCCCACACGCTCTTAAAGTCAGATGCCTAATGCAAAGCACTGGCAAATGAGTTATGATAAATACTGTTTCATTTCAGATTAGCTTAAGAATTGCAAATTCCCATTTGTCATTTATAACGTAAATGACCCAAATAAAACAAACCCAAGGCAAGACATCCGCATGCAATGAGATTTCTACTTAGACTATATAAAAGAAAAAAGTTTCTTCCAGGTCATCCCTACTGTTTCAGTCTCCTTCACCACACAACTCTGTCAGAGACACTTGAGTTCTGGGTAGTTCTCCCAGCCCCTCTGATTTGGGAGCAGGTACTGATCAGCTTCCACAAAATGTTCTTCCTTCCCATCGCTTCTGAAAGCAGCATTTCAGACCTCTGTCCCTCCAGAGGTCAAATTTCCCATTTCTGCCTTCATCCACTTTCATTTTCTATGCCTAATGTTACATACGGGCTGTCTTGGAAATTCCATTTAGCTGGTGATTCTGTAGGCCAGAAGCTGGAGAGCAAATATTCACTTCTAAACAACAACTCAGTAAACCCTCTGGGGTTGTTTGAAGGAGAATGTGCCTCAAAAGGATGGCACTATTAGGAGGTATGGCTTTGTTGAAGTAGGTGTGGCCTTTTTGAAGGAAATGTGTCACTGTGGGAGTAGGCTTTGAGATCTCTTTTGTCCAAGCTTCCCTCAGTGTTAGACTCAGACTACTTCCTGTTGCCTGAACCATGTAGGACAATCAGCTACTACCCCAGCACCACATCTGCCTGCATGCCACCATGCTCCCTGCCATGATGATAATGGACTGAACCTCTGAAACTATAAGCCACAACCTCAATTCAATGATTTCTTTTGTAAGAGTTGCCATAGTCATGGTGTCTCTTCACAGAAATAGAAACCCTAAGTAAGACACCTGCAGTGCAACTTCAAGGGGTATCACTGCATCAACATACTCAGCTCACTTGCTCTTCTATCCTCTCTCTCTCTCTCTAGAGTGCGCACACGTGTGCGTGTGTGTGTGTGTGTGTGTTTGTGTGTGTGTGTGTGTGTACACGTGCACAAGTGCCCACAGAGGCCAGAAAGAGGTGTAATCCCTTGAAGGTGGCGTCCCAGGCATGTATGAACTGGGATCTGAACTCTCGGTTCTCTGAAAGAGCAGTAAGTGCTATTAACTGAGGAATCACCTCTCCAGTACCTCCATCCACTCTATAACTTCTCCCTGTGTGCTAACAGCATTCTGGGCATTTTATAACCATTATTCCATCCATCCCTCACAACCACCTTCAGAGAAATCATTATGCCCACTTCACACATGAGGAAATGGCTTGAGATGGGTTGCACTTTAGGAGACCTAGTTAAATTGCAGAATGCTTTCTTTGGGTGGCTGGACGTTTCCTTGCTATAGAAGTCCCCCAGATGAATGACATTCACCTCCTGTGAGCAGCTCTTATTAAATTCTTAAGCAACATTCTCTCTCAGGCTACCTAGAGAAGTGAGTCATGAAAGATAAGGGGCATTCAGCTGACCACTTAGAATTGATGTTCTTTCTGCCTTCCCAGGGACCAAATGATGCCAGAGCTGAGCTCAGGTCAGCTTTAGTCACTCGAGTCTCTCTCCTGGGTTTCCCCAGAACACGTCCTCATTCATCTACAAGTAAAGACAAAAGATAACTGACAACCCAATAGTCACAACGCGCTCTGCCATGGGCTAATTTCAATGACATCTTTTGTTCAAATCCCGCTAGAAATCCAAGGGGGAACATCACCATGAGCAAACTTTTCTGTCAACACTAAGATGCTGTGTATGGCCAACTGCGTCTGCTTCTGTTTTTCTCAAACTATCAACGAAACCTTCACAGTCACGTGCAGCAAGCTTAGAGTCCAACTCCTAAAGAAGCACCAACACCCCTACCCTTCAGAATTATGCCCAGTTAGCAGGTCTTGTTTACAGTCTCTCAAATATCAGTAACAAACAAACAAAACAAAACAACAACAACAAAAACTACCCAAAACCGAGGTTTAAGATTTCCTGAGAGTCCAATGCCACCTGGCCCCTACACTTAAAGTCAGGTTAAGTTCTTAGCTATGTAAACCAAACATTTTAAATGTCACCATCCTTTTGGTAAGTAAAAACATTACTAAAATGCCTGAACTTAAGGACAAACTATTTCAGAAGAGCATCAGATCTTTCTAGAAGTAGCATTTCTTCTGAACGAGGCAAAGGGGCCTGTAGAGAGCTCCCTTTTTAAAATGTGACCAAAGCAGCAGTTCTCTGGAATGGTTTCCGTAGTGATGAGATACTTTTCAGCTTGCCACAGTCTCCTAAATAAGCAACCAGTCAGTGGCTGGTGGACAAGAGCAGCAGGCGTTTCTCCCCAATGATCTCCATCTCCCAGAGACCCACCCCAACTGACTCTAAGACACCAGACACCAGAGCTGTTTACACTGCCTTAGGGGCCAGACAGAGAGAGATCTTGACCTCTGAAAACCCTACAACTTCTCCTTCACTAAACCTTACTACAAATTAATCACTCATTTTCCAGGAAGCAGAAAGATAAGATACTTCAATGGGCCGTGGGGATAGTAGTGCTTTCAGCTGGGAAATAAAGTGTTAAATGTCAATCCTTGGCAATAACCTTAATCTCCCCAACGGCACCGATATATCCTAGTCTTTTCCTGCAGGAAATTTCCTACGTGCATTTTGAAGATTACGCGCACATCAACAAAGATACAAAGAAAGACTTGGCTCAGAGTCGTCTAAAGCCTTGCCTCTTTCTACGTGTTATAATCAGAAAGAGCCCAAGTTAACGCAAAAGGCATTCACAGAAGGAAAGTATCATTATACTAATCCCATCACTCTATTGAACTTCCCTTCTAATACACTGTATTTTCATCCTCAGCTTTGGAAACTTTTAGGCTGCGAGTTATCGCAGTTCCCGCCTCCTGCTGGGTGGAAAAATCATTTTTCAAGTCACGGCTTTTAAAGGGAAAGCTACACGTGCTCCCAGAAACACGAATTCATCTTCACCTTTAAGCCTCTGAGCTGCTCCCCTTGGGCTCTGAATGACCAATTATCCGCCTGGCCATCGGAAGCACAGCCTTGCAAGGCAGACTGGCCTCCCTTGGTCACGTCTCAAGTTCGCAGGGTAAACAGGTTCTCCACGGCAACCGGGATGGCCGAGGACGACCAGGGACTCACCCAAGCGTGCAAATCCCCGGTGTGCGGTCAGCCCGCCACGACCTGAGTCTCTAGGGGTGCAGAGCGGCCGCAACTAGGGCAGCGGAGACGAGGGTCGCCGTTGAGCGGTGCAGACTAATGTCAGCGCCAGCTCGGGGGCGGTCTCTGCCCAGGATCCGGGAGGGAAGCTCGGCCGAGCGTTGGCTCGGAGCTCTTCAGTTCTTCACAGCATCACAGCCCGGGCTGTCCAGAATGCAACTTCCACTCGTCGGCCTAGAAGCGTGAGAATGAAAGGAAGAGGAGTGGTGGGGAGAGGGAAAAAACATTTAAAAAAAAAAAAAAAAAAAAGGACGGGGTGCGCGGGAGCGCGCAGGACGGGAGCGCGGCTCGGCTGGGTAGAGAAGTTGGAATGCAGCCGCGAGGCCGCGCGCGGCCAGGCTCGCCTGGGGACCTCCAGCGGAGCTGCATTGCTTGGGCGCCGGAGTGACAGCAGCAGCGACTTCCCGCTGTGCCCGCCGCCCGGACCCGCCCTCACCTCTCCCTAAGCAGCAACCTCAAGCCCGCGGCGCCTCGGAGTCGGCTCGGTGCGGCGCGGGCGCGTGGCGGAGCCCAGGCAATGTGGCTGTGCTGTCCGGTCCCCTGCAAACGCCGCGCCCAGACGTGCCAGTGTGGTGAGGCTGGGATCGGGATGACCTTCCTGTCCCTCGCCTCGATCTTCTCCTGTCTCTTGTGGCTTGTCGGTTCCTAAGCGGGAGAGACGCAGGGCGGGTACACCTGGCTGGTCCCAAGCCCAGCTCTGTACCTGTGGTGACTGACACCCACGTGACCCTGAGCACTTCTCTTCCTTTTTTATCCTGACCGCAAAAGACACTAACTGGAATACCAACAGGGTGCCTGGGCACTTTGGCTGACTCAGAATCGGAGGGATCGAGTCCAGGCTGTCACTGCACTGGGTCTTTGGTTTAAAAGGCATGGTTAATATTTTCAATGTTTTGCCAAAATGAGTGGGTCAAAGGCAGCATGGGTGCAGGGTGGAATTTAGAAGCATTCCCCTAAAATGGACATAGATCGTTGTTTCTGCAACAATAGTGTTAATTGCTTTCAGCGTCAGCTAATAACCTTCAACCTACACTAGTAAACAACGCAGGTACCCGCTGGGGTCTATGTACTTAAAATAAACAAACACAACAAAACGTGGTCCCTAACTCGAAGCCCAACACATTCAGTAAGAATCTGATGTTGTGCCGGGCATTGGTGGCGCATGCCTTTAATCCCAGCACTCGGGAGGCAGAGGCAGGTGGATCTCTGTGAGTTTGAGGCCAGCCTGACCTACAAAGCGATTCCAGGACAGCCTCTAAGACAATACAGAGAAACCCTGTCTCGAAAAACAAAACAAAACAAAAGAATCTGATGTTGTTGAGTTGCTGTTCTGTTATGTATGTTTGTGGGAACTCAGCTACAGTGACACAAAAATGCCCATTTACAGTATCACTGAGAGGGTTGGTGGAGAACATATACTTTAACTCCCGAGCAGTGCTCCGGTATTCTGTCTACTGGACGCAGGGAGCAGGAACAACTTCTGTTTAGACTTCTGTTGCAATGTCAAGAATGACAAAACAGCCATCCCTCCCTCCCTTTAAAAAGGGATGAGAAGAACCACCAGCCTGTTCCTTATCTTCTTGAACTCGGTGCCAATAGGAAGGACACTCGCCTCTCCTTTGCTCCCTTTTTCTTTTCATTCAAGAAATCTACAATTAAGGGGAACAGAAATTATCATAGGTGCTGACATATCCCCTACCTCATCTGACAGCGCACAGCAACACACATTTCAGTAGCATATTGCTTGGTACATGGCAGGGACCTAATGGCTATCATATCATGAAAAGGAGATAAACAGGATGGGATGAATGGCAAAATGACTTGCTTTACATTTCATAAGAAACACAATTAGAGGTGAAGTGATCAGGGCGGGCACCCTGGCAGCCAGGGTGGGCACAACGTTTTGATACAAAGAGTTTTGAAACATGATAGTAGCAGAAGTTCTCATCCTTATGTAGGGAATAGACTTGTACAGCAAGGGTTCTGGAATATTGTAGAAAGAATGTATACCACTGTTTACATAAAATACATGTATTTTATGGGTGTGCACGGACTGGCAGAAGTAAATCTGTGTAAGGTATGTTACCCATTGATACTGCATCATTACGTGATCTGCAAATGTGTTGGGCCACACTCATGGCTATTTTGGAGCCCGTGTGGACTCTAGTCGGACACTCCTGACATACTATGTGGATTTGAGTAAGCAATCTCTTGTCTGGAAGCAGGGAGAAAAGTAGATCATTGTAGTTGAACGATTTAGATGATTACTATGGAAATGGAAAGAATATTTATATACTAGGGAAATGTGGCTTGGCTCAAAAACAAACAGCTTATGTGCCTTTGTAAATGAGAATTCCACAACTCAGCAAAAAGAGAAGAGACAGACAAAACAGGGCTGTCTAAACGCTGATGGTTGTTGGCACTCAGTGGGGACTTGGGAGGGGGGATGTATCTTTACGTTACCTCATCGTTCATGATGTTGGACACGCCTCATGAAAATAGATCTAATGAATCCTTGCTCTTGGGTAATCATAACCAGTCCCATGGGATTTCCTAGCTTTGTTTATTAGGCTGGAGAAGTGATATCTATATCTATGTCTATATTTGTATCTATCTATCTATCTATCTATCTATCTATCTATCTATCTATCTATCTATCTAAAGAAATGAGGTGCCCCTGAGATAGCTCAGAGGATAATGGTGCTTGCTACCAAGTACTGACCAGCTGAGGTCAGTCCTCAGGACCCACATGGTATAAGGGAGAGGACTAACTTCTGAAAGTTATCCCTGATCCCCCACATGCTGAGACACACACATGTCCACTCACATAAACACACACACACACACACACAATAATAAATACAATGTTTTAAAAAAATAAAAGAAACGAACTGGGTGGTGGTGCCACAAGCCTTTAATCCCAGCACTTGGGAGGCAGAGGCAAGCAGACCTCTGTGAGCTTAAGGCCAGCCTGGTCTACAGAGATAGTTTAAGGACTGCTAGACCCATTATACAGAGAAACCCTGTCTTGAAAAACCAAAAAAAAAAAAAGTTAAAAAGAAAAAGGAACGAAAAAAGGAGACAATACGAAGAAATCAGTGATGCCATTATCACTGGTGAGCAGACTTTCAATAGAAACAATGGACATTCTCTTACAATGAATACTGTTATGTGTTGACATAGTATCTACAGAAGTCATACCATTGTAGAATGCTGAAAAGGTGTTCCTGCTTTTTCTGGAATTACAGAAAGTATATCACTTTATACTGACTAATTATCTTGCTTCCCTTATTGTTACCTTTTACAAACCCACTATGTTATTGCTCCTATGTGTAGGATGGTAACATGAATGATGGTGTTACTTAATTGGTTCCACCCTCTATTTAATCCTTCAGGGCTGGCACATTCATCAGTGGGAGCAGATTGAACCTATGAGCACCTGCCTCATGCATGTGCTCACCTCAGTACCTGATGGGGGATGTCCTTCTGTATATATGTCTTTCTTATTGGTTGATGAATAAAATACTGTTTGGCCGATAGAGGCAGGACTAGGAGGCGAGGAGATTTCTGGGAAAGGTAGACAGAGCCGTGCCTCAGAGGACACCGTATAGCGGAGGAAGGAGTAACAGGTCCAGAACCTTCTCCGGTAAAATATGACCACGTGGAAATACTTAGATTAATAGAAATGGGTTAATAATTAAGACAGAGCTAGTCAATAAGAAGCCCTACCTATTGGCCAACAGTTTCATAATTAATACACAGTCTCTGTGTGTTCATTTGGGACTGAAGTGGGACAAGACACTTTCAGTTGCAAGTACCTGCCTTGCTTGCTTCCGTATTCCGAGAAGGGCACCCACAGTGCTAACTTACACATAGCCTGGTGATGCCCATCACATCATTAGCTCAGTTAGACATATTGGTGTCTAGCTCAGTACCAAGCCTGTGCTGTATTATGCAACATCTTAGCTTGTTTGTTTTTGTTTTCCTGTAACCATGACAACATACCCAGGCAAAAGCAACTTCATGGGAAAGGGTTCGTTTGGCTCATGGTTCCAGGTTCCAGTTCATCACTGCAGGGAAGTCGAGATGCAGCGCTTTGAAGCAGCTATTATAGCACAGCCCTGGTCAAGTGGGGAGAGCAATGGATTAGCGAACGCACACTGGTGATCAGCTGGCTCTCTGATTTTCATTCAACCCAGGACCAGCCCACCATACTGTGCCACTACCTTCACGATGGAGTTTCCCAGCTAAGAAAACCCCTCACAGGCATGCCCACAGGCCAACCCAACCCAACCCAGATTCTTCCTGGAGTTTGTCCTCCCCGGGTGATACCAGCTAACCCTGAGTGAGTGGCTCCGGTCTTTTCTGCAGCTTAGAAGCGACCCGTGCATTAAAACCCAGGCTGTGACCCGGTTCTCAGCTGTGCTGTTAATTGCTTTGTTCTCTGCCTCAGGGGAAGCAACAACAGCACCAGACTGTGTTTTACATTAGGAGCCACAGATGCCTTGGCAACTGAGGAGCAAGCCCTGCTGTCTTTCCTCGGGCAGCTGTTTCCTCATCGAGGACTGCTAACAGTTGCAGAGGCGACAGTGAGCTCTTCCTTCCTGTCTCTTGGAGCTTCATAATCATGTAAATCAACAGAGACAACTGGATTCTTTTCTGACTTGAATTGATGCAATGGCACAGCCTCCTTGTCACCCCTGATGTGAGACAGGAAGGGGATCGAGTTTTTCCTTTGCATAGATTTTCCTGAGTGGCTTCCTTCCTTTTTCCTAACAAAAGCCCAAGCCATACCATGTTTACAGTTTTGTTTTGTTTTTTTTTTGTAAATCTGGTCATGTTTTCAATTGAATTTTAAACACCGTTTTTTCTTTCCTTTTCAGTTTACGTGTCTGAATGTTCTGCCTTGGCGCATGTATGTGCATGTATTTGCACCATGAGCAGGCCTGGGGTCCTTAGAGGTCAGTAGAGGGCGTTGGAACTGGAGTTTAAGGTTGATTTTGAACTGCTGTGTCAGTGCTGGGTTCCAAACCTGGGTCTTCTGCAAGAGCAATATAATCTCCTAACCTCTGAGCCGTCTCTAGTTCTCTCAGTTGTTCAATTTTTTTTTCTGGAAAAATAAAAAAATTTCTTATAAAGTTTTTGTTCTGAAAACCATAACCAGAATGCAGCAACTAATGTTTTAAATCCTTTATTTTATGGAAATATAGAGTAAACAGCTCATCAATAAACACTAAAACCAAATTATTCCATGGTCCTTTTGTCTGGCATTCATTGCCATCTTTGCATGTCTTAGAATGTACCATGAGTCCTCTACAGTGGGCCCTGCCTGGCTGTGTCTCTGGGTCCAAGGAAAGTCACGAGTTATTTCTGGCTCACATGGTTTCATCTTCTATCCTTCTCATCTGTAAAGTGCCATGCATGTTCCAGTAAGAAATTCAGGCAAGGGCTTTTTCTAGAGCTGTTGGGCATTGCTTGATTTATTTAAGTCTCCCTTGCTTACCACAGCCTCAGGTATTTAAAGTTCAATGCATACACCTAAGCTTTGTTTACACGGACTGCCGAGCCTCCTGATAGTCTACATAATGCTTTGATGTCATGGTTTCAATCAGATTCAAGGGCTTACTCCACTCAAGACTCTGATCTTAGCATTGGATCTTTTTGCTACAGTTACTGTCATTTATTCTGGTAGGACAGAGTCTTTTTGTTTGTTTGTTTGGTTTGTTTGGAGCCAGCCTGTCCTGGCACTTGCTTTGTAGACCAGGTTGGCCTTGAACTCACAGAGATCCACCTGTTTCTGCCTCCTG